GGGGGGGGGGGTATGTGTATGTAATGGGAAGCAAAGAAAATGGAACAGCAGCCAGGAAATGGGTGATCAGCTTCCATAAATGCTCAGCATCTACCCCTGGGGGCAAATATGTTAACTGTGGCTCCTTCCCCTCCATCCCCCATACCTCCCTGAGGTACCATGGCATCCCTTTCTACAGGGTTGGGGGAGGGGAGGACTGCTCTGAGGGATGTTGGGCAGTCTAAAGCAGGGGCTTTCCTGGGAGAGCTGCTTTCTTCCCTGGGCGGTAACTTGGACCAAGTATGGCTTCAGCTCTTGCTCATCCAGAGGTGTGGTATTGGGGGTGGGGTGCCATTAGGTGCCAGCTGGATGAGCCTGAAGAGTGCTGACCCCAGAATCAGCTAGGCCTGAGTTCAGTACTAACCCTACTTAACCTTTCTCAGACTTGGGATTCTCATCTGTGAAATGGGAATAGGAATCCTACTTGAGGTGGTTACCAAAATTAGGACATGAGGACCCAGTCATCCTGCCTTACTGGAAGACTGCTTCTGAAGGGAGATAGTATCAGGGAGGGAAGGGCAATGACCAGTCAGTTCCACCGTGCTTGGATTCCCAGGGCCCATTCAGCCTAGCACTGGCCTGCATTGTGACCACTAGAGGGTGTGTGTGGCAGTGGCCCAGCAGGGCAGGACCTCAGGGTACAGCCCAAGAGCACCCTCCTAGAGAACAAGTTCTAATTCCCTGGGGGTTTAGGAGAGGTGCAAGGGGTGGGGGGGTCCCAGCTGCTGCTCCTCAGCTGTCTGTAGCCAAGTCACTAACAAAGTAAATCACAAAGAACTCTAACTTCTCAGGTTCAAATCTGCCCCCTTCCCATTATTCCAGTTTTCCCCAAAAGCACTCTGTGCTTCCCTTTTACAGTGCTTCTCACAATTTGCAGCCATACAACTTGTGTTTCTCCTCTGCCCCTAGAATGAAGCCCCACTTGGATAGAGATGCTGAAACTATCAGGCACAGGCCACCCACAGTAGCACTAAGGAAATAGAGTCAGAAGCAGGCCATTTGATGCCATTCTGTCTGTGCCCTCCAAGAAACTAATTCACACAGGACAGCACCTGCCTCACCCCCCCACACACACACCCCC